CACTTGAAGGAGTCGTCTCCGGTATGGACATGTATATATTCTTGTCCGTCCGTCCGTCCAATCGCACGATAACTCAAAAACGAATAATGCAATCCACACCAAACCTTTACAAGTTTTTTCTTTTGTGCCAATGACGGCTGCTATTGTAATTGGATCAATTCAGAAAACGTGTTCGGGTAGCCATGCAACTCCGAAAGTTAATTTTAAATATTTGGAAAAATATTAAAGCTAGATTCATGAAACTCGGCAACAGATTCATGATGTCAACATTTTTTAAAACTTTAAAATTACTCATGAATTTTTTAAAAACATCAGAGCTCGGAAACCGAAGAAGGGGGAATTTGTTATCATATCCATGAAGCTAATTGATGGAATTTCTTAACATTAAAAGTTTGAGTTCTGTTCGCTACCGAAACTAACTGAAAAATGGGCCTCTGATAAGAGCTAATATTTTTCCAGGTATGTTAAAATGTGTGAGGAGTATTTAAAAGGCATTTTCGTAGTCTCATGCAACATTTCAGCTAATAAACTAGACAATATCTTGCGGTCATGTGTTAAGTTTATATGTTATTTATATGTTAAGTTATATTACATCTGTATATTTAGCTTCATTATACCCGTACGAACGTATGTTCGAAGGGTAAACTAAATTTGCTTTACCGTTTGTAACGCTAAGAAATAACGGTCTTAGATATAGACTCAAGTGTATGTTTTTGATCAACATCAAATTCTGAGTTAATTTAGCTTTATCTGTTTGTCTGTCCGTCCGTCCATCCGTCTGTCCCAACGACAACTCAATGAGCTAAGTTCACCAAATTTTCACAAATGATTTATTGTAATAAGTGGCAGAACGCTATTTAAATTGGGCATGATCGGGGTACCGGTTCGGGTAGCTGCCATACAATTTCAAAATTTATTTGGCTATATTATGAGATATATCTCAGAAACTATAAAAGCTAAAGCTAAAAAGAAATTTCACACAAGCAAATATATTAGTAGGGCCGATGTGCTTGATAAAATTCGTTAAAATTTCTTGGCTCTTTCTGGTAGCTGCCATACAACTTCAATAGTAGTTTGACACACACAGTATTTTGAAAAACACATTGTGCTGAAATTTTGCATAAATTAATATGGTAATACGGCAACTTAAAATCATAGTCTGCCCATATTCAGTTATGGCACCTTTATTCGCACATAGGAAGCAAATTCGTACGGGTATCACAGAGTTGACAAGGTCAGCTCTATTTTTTCTCGTTTCAATATAAATTTATTCTCGCAGAGTATTACTAACTTATTCATACTAAATAATTCATGCACATTGTACTGGTACTAGAGCCAACCGACAATCCATAGAGAGATGAACTTTGTATTTTTGTTTTGAAACTTCAGTTCATGCTCATTTCAAATCATTATTTATTGATTTGCTATAATGAGCTCTGTTGGTATATGGATGTAATGTTTTATATTTTGCGAGCCAACGACAAGCCTCATCTAAGTTTTAATTTTCCTTCCTTTATTAAATGAATTACTAATGTACATGCATTCATATTTTAACACTTTGAGTCTCAGTTACCAGTGAGCAAACCTAAAATGCCAAAAATGGTGAACGTAAGAAAACCTATATGCGTTGAATCGTTGCTCAACATACGAATAAATAACGACATTATAAGTAACGCAGAGACAAATTTGATTTCTCCGGAAAAAAGTCTAAAACTTTATATATGTAACTCTTTTACTTATACATATACTTAGTTTCTCTGAGTTGTAGAATTGCCCCTGTGATATAGGGACTTAAAGTAAGTCACCATAGGTGAGCACGGACTCTAAGAAGTCTTTTAGAATTTTTTTTAAAAATTTGTTTTCAAAATATTTAAATTAGTGCGATTCGCAATATTAAAAATATACATATAAAAAACCATATATAAGAAACCAGGAGTATACCTGTGAAACAGTATGGCAATCAACATACAGCATTATTAAATTAAAATCGTTCGTACTTGCATCACAGAGTTGACACAATTTGTTTTCTCGTTTACCTATTCTCGTTTTTTTATTAAACTTAATAATAGCTTCAAATTAAAGTTAAAGATTTTCGCATACACCTATGTATATAATAACCTATATAAAAAAAATTACAGACCTATATAATAATATACACCTATAATATTTGCATGTCGTAATGGTGTTTCGTATACGAATCTAAAATAACAAATAAAATTAAACAAATTTAAAAAGCATTTAAACAGGCGTGTTTCTTTTAGGGGTATGTTTAAATAACAGCCTTTATGTAGAAGAATTTTGGGCTTGTTATATGAACACTCATTTCTGTAACCGATTTCATATTTTTGTAGTAGACGTCAAGACCTTAATATATAAATTCTTAGGTTAAATTTCACTCATACATAACAGCATTTCCTTGCTTCATTATTTTCAATAGTTTAGAATATTATACTCGTATACCTTCAAAAGGAACACACCCAACATGTATCAGGAAGAATAACACTTATGACACAAATAGAATAATTATATTAAAAAGTTAATTTGAATTTGTGGCAGTTCTTTAGTTTGAGAGATACGAGTATGGAGCAAAACGATGTATAAGCTACTTGCTTAATAAACAATTTCTGTACATATTATTGATATTAAAATATACACATATTATGTGTATATTTTAATACGAGTATCAATAATATGTTTTTTTTGCTTTTTCATAAATTATTTTCTAAAATGATAATAAATAAATTCGCGATCGGTATCTCACCGAAGAAAGTCGTGAAATTTTGGATTACATTTACTATTATTGAAAAGTTGTCATATTCAATAAATAACTATTCACTATTGTGTTACTTAATAAATTGAACTATCTTTGATATAATTTGCACTGTAGATTGCACATTATAAGTGTAAAATTCATATATACTATAAAAAATCGGATGTTCTGTAGTGCTGGTGGTAATTTACCACATGGTTTCAGCACAAAAAAACGATGATCCAAATAATATAAAGGATTGTATTAAAACAAGCAGAAAATCATCCCTTAAGAGCGCAATGTCAGCTAAAAATGCAACGAAAAAATTAGCACAAGCTAATAAAAAACTGTTGCAAGATAATTCATCTTTAAAAAAGCAGTTGCAAAAATTACAAAAGCAGGTTGATGAATTAATTTCAAAGAATAATTCTGACGAAAATATTAATCAAAAGACATCCAGCTCCTATGTTCCTAGCGTTGGTGATATGGATCTTGATTTTGGTGAGAACTTATGTTCGGATAAACTATCCATTGAAAATGAAGTGGATTTTGTTGAAGTCCTACGAAAGAAAAATAAAGAAAAAAAAAAAACCAAACCAAAACATCCGGAAATGAAAACAATTCTACACTTACGAATTCAATTTGTCAAAACATAGCAGGTACATCAAATTCCAGCAACATTAGCAGCAATAACACCAGCAATAATGTAAACAACAACAACAAAAGAAACAAAAATATTCCACCTATAATTGTTGAATCGGAAGATTTACCTACAATAAAAAAACTAATCAAAGGCCAATTAAAAATAAATAATTTTTTGATAAAATCAACAAATAAAGGAAGACACACGATATATACACAAGATATTGAAACTTTTAAAACTATTTTTGAATTTTTAAAACAAGCTAACGTCGAGTGTTTTTCTTATACACTAAAATCTGAAAAACCTATTAATCTAACACTGAAAGGTTTACATAATGACTACGCACCTGACGATATACTAAAATTACTTAATGAATTAAAAATTGATAATGTCACTTTTAAGAAAGTTCTCCGTTTGAACACAAAAAAAGCAACTCTTGAAAATAAAAAGTTGCCAATATACATCGTGCAAGCGGGACACGACAGCAATGTGTCAAGTATATTTGCCATAAAACATCTTGAAAATCAAATAGTAAAATGGGAAAAATTAAAAAAGAAACCAATCGCTCAGTGCACTAGATGTCAGCGTCTTAACCATTCAGCCTACAATTGTAATATGGAGCCTAGATGTGTTAAATGTGGGCAAAATCACTTGGCAGTTAATTGCAGTTTATCTAAGAATAGTCCAGCTGATAAATTATTCTGCATTTTATGTAATAAATATGGTCACCCTGCTTCTTATCGTCAATGTCAAAACTATGTTCAAAGAGAGGAGAGAATGCAAACACAACATAAAAACAAAATTACAAAAGCTGTAAATAAGGTAAATAATATACAGAACTATGTTAACTCAAATTTATCATTTGCTAATGTAGTTGCTGCAAATAATAAAAATAATATTAATAATCTAGGTAATAATAATACGAATAGCAATTTATTTACAAATGTTGCCTCTACTACTGGAATGAACCCGGAAATTACATTACAGAGTGTTATGTTAATTTTAACAGGTTTAAATCAAAATTTCACCACTTTATGTGAACGCTTTAATCAATTAGATAAAAAGGTTAATGGGATTTCTGAGAGAGTAGATTTTCTTATGGAGAATATCCATGACTAAAACAACTCCAAATAAACATAATATTAAGTTAAATTCTATTAACGTAAATTCATGTCGATCGCTTGCAAAACAATTTTCGTTGATTGACTTTCTTTCTAAAAATAATCCAGATGTTGTTGCCATGATAGACCAACAGTTAATATAGGAGGTGGTACTGCTTTACTTGTTAAAAAAAACATAAGATTTGAGCAAATTGATAATTCTAATTTTACGTCGTTTCAATGTCTGGAGGTTTGTGCAATAAAAATACTTGTATAAGGCAATAATTTTCTATTTATTGTATCAATTTATGCATCTCTTAGAAATACCGAAACTTTTCAAAATGAATTTTGCAGAATGCTTGAAATTTTAGGTTTTGACAAATATAATAATTATTATGTGATTTGTGGAGATATTAATGCAAAACATCAAGATTGGGGTAATTTACAGCATAATGCCCGTGGAAAATTCTTAAAAAAATTTCTCGACGAAAAAAAAATTTTATATAGAATGGCTTTATATGCTTCAGATTTACCTTCTTTTCCTAAAAGTAATTCATTTTTGGACTTGATACTGGCTGATGCTAGACTTAACTTAAAAACATCTACTATGGGGAAATTAGAAACGCTAATTTATGACAGCGACCACTTGGCTATAAACTTGGCTAGAAATTCTTGTTCGAACTTCCAGAAATTCATAATCATTATCTATACAATAGGGTGAATTGGCACAAATTCAAAAAAAATATAGATATGTAAACAAGTACTACTAAACAATGATATTAGGGAATTACCTAATAACAAAAATTTAACAAAATTCGAAATAAATATGTTTTTAAACAAAATAGAGCAAATAATTCAAAATGCCATTCGAATTGAGATTCCTGTTTTCAATCCCGGAAATAACGGTACCGATTTGTACTCCAATGCCATTTTGTGTAGATTAAGAAAATATAAAAGTCAATTACTATCTGCAAAATATGCCTTACTTAAAAATCTTCCAGATAGAAATCATCAAACAATTATAAGAACTAGCGTACTTCTTAAAAATGTTAGTATTTTGATTAAAGAAAATTTGAAAATTTCGATTAGTAATTACTGGAAAAACAGAATAAAAAATATTAAAAGCAGTAACAGTAAAAGTATGTTTCCTGAAATTAGAAAAATTTATAAAAAATATAATTGTGAAAACTTAAAAAAATTAATTATCCCTAACGATAATACTAATATATTAGTTAATGCTGGTGTTAATCTGAATTTATTGGAAAAACATAGTGGTAATTTTATAATTGAAAATACTGATGATTTATTAAATACTATGGCATCACATTTGTCATTAGTACATCCCGAAACTGCCTATAGAAATTCTGCGATTGCTAATAAAGTTGACTCTGCGATTTCTAATTTCAATACAATAACGCAGGAGTACGAATGCAATGAAATATCACTAGTCGAATTCAATAACGAATTAAAATCAAATAAAATTTCCAGTTTGCAAAACAAAGACAATTATTTCACAACTTTAGAGGACTTAAAATCAATATTTTCTGGTCTGAAAGGCAAAATCTCTTCGGGAATTGACGGAATACCTAATTTGGTATTAAAAAACCTGCCTGATTCAATAATTGAGAAATATTGTATTATTTTTAACAACTGTCTGAATCTCAGTTATTTCCCTGAAATATGGAAAAAAGCAAAGGTTGTAACAATAAAGAAACCGGGTAAAATTTCTATCGATCCTAGTAGTTTCAGACCAATAAGTCTCTTGCCTAATTATAAGTAAGGTTTTTGAAGTAATAATAAATAAATACCTAACTGAGGAATCGGAAAGAAGGAATGTAATACCTATGAATCAATTCGGCTTCAGAAACAGACATAGTACAATCCATGCAATGACTAAATTGTCTTCTGATATTTGTTGGCATATTAACGATCAGAAATGCGTGGCGGCATGTTTCGTGGACCTGGAAAAAGCCTTCGACACGGTTTGGTTGGATGGCCTAATATATGGATTAATAGGATATGGTTTTCCCTTATACCTGATCATATTAATAAACAATATGATTCGCAATAAAACTTTTAGAGTAGTTTCCAGTAGAGGAAAGTACTCAAAAGAGTTTGCAGTTTTAAGCGGTCTCCAGCAGGGCACTGTAAACTCACCCATTTTATTTAATATATTTTCATGCGGACTACTGGATTCCTTAAACAACAGTTTAGGGCTAAATCACAGTATAGCTTTCGCGGATGACCTAGCAATTTATTCAGTGAATCACGATCCAAATATTGCACGATATATGTTGCAAAAACTGTTTGACAAAGTTGTCTCATACTGCAATGACTGGAAATTAAAAATCAATTACAATAAGTGTGTAACCGTTCTTTTTAGAAATACTACAAACAAGGCAAACTCCAAAATTAGAAGGGATTGGAAAAACGTTTTCTTAAAGGCTCCAGATAATACTTATATAAAAAATTGTAAATCCTTCAAATACTTAGGGGTTAATTACCACTATTTATACAAGTTTAATACGCATTGTCAGAATCAATTATCTAAAGCTAGTAAGGCATTTATGAGTTTAGCTAAGTTGTTCTATTCGAAGGTTCTCTGTAATAGAGTGAAAATTATTTGCTACGTGAGCTTTATTAGACCTATTCTTACATATGGTTGCCCAATTTGGTTTAACATAAGTGCTTCAACAATGGAAAAATTTAGATTGTTTGAGCGTAACTGTTTAAGAGCTTGCACGGGTCTGAACAGAACGCCTGAGTCAAATTATATTCAATACTACTCCAACAAAACTCTTTATGATAGTGCAAATATTACGAGAATAGATAATTTTATCTTACAACTGATACGTAACCACATTCTAAGAAGTACTCAGATAACAAACAACTCACTAATAAACCATGCATGGTTTCCTGACGTGGATTACATAAGATCTACATTAGGTTCTGGCTTCATTCCACCAGAGGCTTTCTTGTTTTTAGATGAAAATAATTATTTAGAAAATTGCTCTAATTATATTCCAATACTTTACCATTACATTAGAAATGCAGCAAATAAAAAAATACCTTTAGATTTAAATAACCTAAGCTTAGAAAATAATGAATATTTTAAATATGACAAATATATTCCAAATTTAAACAAACTTATTAATTATAATAAAACATATTTTTGGAGAAATTAGAGTAAGTTAGGTATAAGATAATTTTATTCTAGTATATGTAAGTTTAGGGTAAGTTTATTTTAGTTATTAAACATTATATTATAAAAGTTGCTTTTTTTATAAAAACTTTTTAGCAACACTAAATAAATAATATCTGAATTCAATGAATTCTAACATTTTGTACATAAAATTTGTAAATATATTAACAAAAAATGAATTATTAGCTTTTAAAAACATATTTTTATAAATGGGAGAGCCTCTTGGGCCATTGCACATTTAAATTAATAATTATAAAAAAAATATTCTTTAGTTTTGTTTTGAATTGTACCATTATAAAAAAAGAAAAAAAAAAATAAAACATTAAAAAAAAAAAAAAAAAATGATAATAAATGCAGCCAAATAAAATAGAAGAGCCGCATACTGATTGCATATTTGAGGCCATTTCATTTTTCAATTCAAAATTATTTTTCTTTTCACTCCTAATACATAAATTTTTTCCAATATTTTACGTTTTTTCGTGGTAATTAAATTGTTTGTCTCTCTTTTTTTGTTGAATTTTCATTTTCGTTGTTCCAAAAAAATAAAAAAATTTACCTCTTAAAATGCCAAAAGTTGAAAGTTCACCACTCCTTTGAAAGTAAATTGATTATTCAACAAGTCAAGAGGTAAATAAGTCAGTCAGTTTGTTTTCGTTTTAACCAGACATTTAACCATCAAAATGATAAAAATCAGTACACAAATTATACATACATTTACGTTATTACACATACATATATATTCATATATATATATATTATATGTATCTTATGTAGACCTATCCTATTACTTATGACCCCCTTGAGGAAGATATAAAAAATAAAAGAAATTACATCTATTTAAAATCATTTTACGGGTCGAAAAGGTATTCAGCAGATATACAAATAATTTACGGTAACTGTAATTTCATGTATGAATAATTTCGTGTTAAAAGGACATTTAACCGTTTTTATAAAGCTGATTTTTTATATTACTCTTTTTTTTTTTCAAAAGAAAATTATTATTTATTTTAAAAAGATTCTCCTGATTTCATATACCTTTCGTGCTTTTTTAAATGTTCAACCCTCGCTAAAGTTGTTTTGTAAATATTCTATAGAGTGAGCTATAATATCTATATGTTTCAGTGCTTAAATTCTTTATACATTTGTTGAATATCCTCATACATACATATTATACATGTATATTGTTATATATATATAGTAATAAAATTTAATATTCATGATATTATGTATGTATGTATGTTCTTATATATCGACATCAAGGTTTTCTCATTCTTATAATTCGGAATAAATCTATGTAGGTAATTTGATTATCTCAATATTATATTAGGTTTTTTATGTAAATTTGTAGTTTTTATATACATACTAAATTCATTCAATTCTGTTTTCAACCATACAGGGTATCGAAATTTAAATATTATATAAAGTTAGATGAACTGAAAATGATTTATGCATATTTCATAAAAAATGCTAAAAGAATTTAATTACGCCAAATAACTAATTCTATAGTACACCATTTGCTAAAAATGCCAATATGCGAAACCACAAACTGTTCTCAAATTTTGCAAACGTAAGAAAATCTCTCCTAACTTATTTAAGCCCCTTGAAATTAAGAAGATTAAAATTTTCAGAATTTGTAGAATTTATGTACTTTAACACAATTTTAATGACAAGAAAAATTTACGATAAATGTCTTTTTATCATAAAATAAAACAAAATATTTTAATTAATCTAAATAACACCATAATTTTATTATGGTGTTTTAATCCAAATTTATTAGAAAGAGAATATTTTAAGAGAATATTAGAAATTTTTCATACATAGTATTTTGCAGTTTAATTAAAATATACATAATTTTGAGCTTAATGGCTCAGTGTTGTGTTGTGCAGAGCCAAACTATTTTCGTGCGTATGTCTATATTCAACTTAAGCATATTTAACAAGGTCAAGGCATTACTAGCAACTAACAATGCCATGCATTACTAGTTTCAGTGTTAAAGATAAATATAAGAATTTTTTTTAAGATAAAGTGAGAACTTTTTATGAAAAATTTATTTTTTTTTCATAGAAGTTAGTAGGTGATAACCAATAAGCAACGAGTGGATTAAATTGAAACAGTACGAATAGCAAAATTGCAAAGTTGCAGGTAAAGGTGATCCAGTAAATTTTTGCTAAGAGCTTTATTATACAAGAATTTATGCACATATAGACACATATATGTTATGTAACATACATATATGTTATTACTCGACTTTTGCAACTAAACTACAACGGTAATAAAAAATATTTTATTTAAATAATATTTTTTGATTTAATAAGAAAAATTCTTCTAAAGACCGCTCTCTTAAAGATTTCTTAGTGATTGTGTCAAGTTATTTACCACCTCCATTCTTACATAATAATCATTCTTCACCAGCATACCAGTTCAATATATTTACTGACAAGACAATGATGAAGGAAGTTTTTAAAATTTTTATCAAAGAAATTTTGTTAAATCACAAAAATTAAAACTTTTGAAAATTGTATATGCTACCCATGAATATTCTTAGAATGCCATTTAGTAACTTAAAATATATAAAAAAAAAACATTTTTGTTTTTTCAACATAAAGATCCGGAAAAAAGCAATATAACAAATCAAAAGAAATGAAACAAAACTAAAAGTTCCTTTGGGGCTAATCAGAAAATTTCCATCTAAAAGTACCAATTTTTATTTGATTACTGTTTTTTCTATATAAATTTTGTGGTAAATTTGTTATATTAGAGAAATGATTGCCTTCTAACGTATAAGATGACAAATGTTATATGTAAATTTTATAAAAAAATTTGATTGTTGCAAAACAAAATAAGACTTGGATGAGGGCGGTTATACTAAATTCCAAATGAAAATTTTAAAAATTTTAATACTTTTTTTGATTTTTCTTCGAAACAAAGAATTAATATTAAGAATAATGCATAATTAAATTTTTAAGTTGCAATAATAAATAAACTTGATTGACAAAAAGTGCTTATTAGTTTCATATCATTCATGTCCGTCCATCCGTCCGTCCGTCCGTGGACATGTTTACAAAACTTCTACACCCTTATAGATAGAAAGCTGAAATTTAATGTATGCATAGATCTCTACTAGAAACTTATTTCTGTAGAAGAAAATTTTTACCTATCTCCCCTCCTCTAGAAGTTATCCGGCCCCAAAACCCTAAAAATGTTATTTTTTAACTGTTTATTGCAGTGAAACCATAATCATTTTTCAAATTTTGCAAACGCAGAAAGCCAGTGGCTTGCTTCTTTTCTCGTGGCATACTATAGTTAAGCATTAAAAAAACAAAATGGCCGTTCAAATTTACCGTTATCTAAAATCCTTTTTTTCCAAATTTTTTATGTCTGTTTTTTCTAGACCCCAGGTTGCAGGAGCCTGAAATTTTAGCAGTCTTTAGATACTAATAAATAGTTTATTTCCGGAAGCTCAAATTTAGATAAACGAAAAAAGTTAACGGTAAATTCCGTGACATTAAATAATATTTTTATTTTTCTTAACTCATGCAATTAACCTTTAACATTTAGCATTATGTTAACTCCTCTTTACATTACTTTTTGCTTTATTACACAGACTGCATAAATCGTTCATCCTAAATATATGCAATTCTATAAGTAGTTTGTATATGAATGAAAATATTTGTATATGAAAATATTGTATATGAAAGTGGTAGGTTGAAGAGAAAAGTGCTAGAATACAAACCATTGGTTTGACCCAACTTTATTTACTTTGAAGTTTTGTAACTTGAAAACATGTAATTTGTGCTTTTTAATAAAGTGGAGTATTTGTAAAAATGTATGTACGAAACAAGTAAATATGCATTGTGAAATTAGTAAACTGAAACCTAAAATACTAGATGTGTTATTTCACACTTACATTTTCTCAGTTCGACACACATTAAACGTTTGATATTT